AGGGTGGTCAAAAAATGGAAAAATATACAGGGTGTTTCCTAAGTACGGTTTGTAACTTCAGGATGTTATTCCTTACAATATTTTAAAAAAAGAAGTTCCAATAAACATGTTTCCGGAAATGCGTATTTTCTGAGATACAGGGTGTCAAAGTTTATAAGAAATGGTTTTTTTAGCTCAAAAATAACTTTTCAATTTTTTTTTTCAAATTTGGCAGGCTTGTTTGTGATAAGAAAAGGTATCTTTTGACTGTAATATGACTTGCTTAATCTGAAAAAAATATCAAAGGTTTAAAAAAATGGTGATGTGCCATTTTTTTTTTTCTACTTTTACCTCGACTCACCATAACACCTTGTATATTTTTCTATTTTCTGACGACCCTGTACATGCTATTTCAAGTTTAAATAGTTCAATACTATTTTTTCGAGAAGCAGAAACTTTTATAAAGACTAACTTTTTTTCGTAAAATTGATAATAAAAAAGTTTCCCATATGCTGCGAACATAAGTGGACACACTGTATATTAGATTTAAGTAATAACTAGTAATAAGCATGAAAAATGTAAACTCTGTAAAACATAAAATAACAAAGAGTGAGATAATCACTTGTGTTATGAGTAAATTATACAGTGTGTATCAGCCAAATGGAATAAATTCGATAATAAATAAATGGGAAACTTTTCGAACAAAAGCTCGAACACGTCAATTTTGTTTTTTTGCTTGAGATTTTTCACACCAATTTTTTTATACAGGGTGTTCCGAAAACAGCTGTACCGTTATCATTTTTAGTTTTTTTTAATGGAACCCCCTGTATATTATGACATATCTGGATTCTGCGGAAAATTCTAGACATATTTTATGTACAATGTCATACAATCTTCAACTGTTTCGGAAATATTGACAGTTGAAAGTTGACTTTTTTACATCTTTGACAAACTGTAAAAGCTAAACGGTTGATGAGGGCTGAATGTAGCTACTAAGTTGATGAGAATATGGGTGATTTTAATGCCGGTCTCCTGTTCGAAAATTTGCAGAACCAAAAAATTGATTTACATGAAGAATTTTTTTTTAATGATCTCAAATTTTCTAGCTTTTAAATAAAAGATTGACATTGATAAATAATTCACCCATGAAAAAATATCAGATGCTTTTCAATAGCTGAAAAAATGGGGATGGGTGTCAACTTCCAAGAGAAAAGAAAAAAACCTTCCGCGTTTACTTTTTGTCTGGCAATCGAGAGAATGAAAGGTTTTGTTGTGAAAATAACGCTGAAAAATCCCCAGACGGTAATCACAGTTCGAAATCGAGTTTTTCGGCGAAACATTCTGTGGACATTTCGAACAGGAGGCAGGCATTAAAACCACTTATATTCTCATCAGCTAACTAGTCACATTCATCCCTCAAAATGCCAGACAAAAAAAAAATGACTCCACTAAACAGGCCCTATCTAAAATAACAGATATTGATTTATCTGTATGGGCAAATAACAGATATTGATTTTTTGTGCTACCCATTCTGTAAGTTGACTTTTTTGACCTACATCCATGAACTGTAAGTGTCACTTACAGTCCGGGTCAAAAAAGTGTTGATATGAAAGGTGAAAATTGCTTTCATATCTCTGTCAAAATAATGTGACAAAAACACTCGACTTCTTAAATAAAAAAACCCAAAACAAATTGAGGATACAATTTTATTGAAACAAATAGAAAATACCTATGGCCATTTGGACCGACTATTTTAAGGTAGCCTAAGCGATAAGTATTCCTTAAAGTGACATTTTTACATCTAAAACTGTCATTTTAAAATTTTAAATACCTACTTATCGCTAAGGGTTCCTTAAAATGGTCAGTGCAAATGGCCATTAGACGTCCAAAAGTTGAAATTAGCATAAACAGATAGGTACCTACCTAGTAATATAAAAATGCGATACTTCATGGTTATTTACTTTTCAATTTTGAAAGTAAAAGAAACATTTGTACAATTAGTTACATTTAACATAGGCATACTTTCCTGTATTGAAGTCGAAGAAGTTAAAATATTAGAATCCTTACTACTAAAGGAAACCTCGACTATCATAGAGGAACTTGTGCTGGGAGTTGCGGATTCAAATCTTATATTCTCGCTGCTACCTAGAATTCTTCTGGCCGTATCTACTTTATTTGCACTTGAGTCGGGGCCACATAACTTTCCGCGACTGTGGAAGATCGCCACCCTCCGTGCCTTTTTAAAGCGAGAACATCCGCACCCGTATCTGCCAAAAGTGTTGCCGAAGTTCTTCGAAATGAGTGTCCCGTGTAAGACTCAGGATTGTCCAAATTCAAGTACTTGGCAATATTATAAGGTACTTTTCCAAGGGTATTTTTACCAGCAACTTGATTGACACATTTCCCTACCTCATACCTCAAAAAGAGTCGTCTATGATCAGTGTTCTTGGGTCTTAAGTTAACATATTTTCTGAATATACCAAGGCAATCAATATTATTTTCAGTATCATTGATAATTGTAAACGAACGTCTGGTTTTATTCTTGCTATCTGGAATTTTTATTATTATCACATCCCTCTTATCTTCAATATCACTTAATGTCATCTTGAGCAATTCGTCTTTACGGCATGCTCCAGCAACGCCAATGAGTGCAACTACCTACAAAATAAAGTCCACTGTTTTATGGAATAGTTCTAAAGCCATATTCATACCTTCATCAACAAATATTGACTGTCTGGTGCCTCCTTCAAAAATGTCTTTATTTCCTGCCTTGAAAACACATTTGATTTTTTGGGATTATAACCATCGTTTCTCCTTTTCAAAAAAGCTCTCAATTTTGGAAATTTAGAAATATCTATACTGTCATTAATGGATAATGTTGTCTTGAGCATAGAGTATTCACTCCTCAAACTTGCTGGACTCTTCAAATGTTGGGAACGCTCAAAGAAATATGCCAAAAGTGCATTTTCATCAACAATATTCAAATGCTTCACCGCTTGCCACTCTTTAAACTTGGAATATATAAATGTGTACCTTTCTTTCGATTTTTCGGGCAGGAATAAAGCACAAGCATTCGCTGCTGCTTCTTCTACGCCGCGCCGGTTTCTACTTTCTCGCACATTTTTTCACTAATAATAATTACACTTGACTATGACTTGAACTTTTTTGTTTGTCAAAATAAACTTGACATTTCAATAAGAATTTCGTTGCCTGGCAATTAAAAAAAAAAAGACAATTTAACGAATACGTCGACAACGCCAAATTTGTTCACAATTTTGATTGTGATGGTTGCTAGCATAGGGTGCATGGAATTAGTAGGTCAATTTAAACAATAATACAACAAACTGGACACCAGTTAAAATAATAGCTTTATTTGCGAAGACGATCCCAAACTAACCCTGAACGCTAAAGTAAGAATCACACCATAAAAAGCCATTAATATTGTTTCATATCAATGGCTTTTCATGATGTGATTCTTTCCTTATATTAGCATTCAGGATCAGTTTGGGATCTTCTTCGCGAACAAAGCAAATAGGTGCACCATCAAATTCATGATATTTATTATCTTGAATGTACGGTAGCACAAAAAATATCATATGCACCTCGACTTGTAGCGTGTACTTTTTTGGCCTCAAATGCTTGCAAACCTCGGCCCTACGGGCCTCGGCTTGCAAACTGCATCCTCGGCCAAAAAAGTAACACTTACAAGCCTTGGTACATAAATAACTATATCTGTATGGGCAAAAAACAGATATTGATTTGATTGTCTAGTAAACAGTCAAGACATGCCTCGAAAGCAAATCCCATATCTGAGACGTGACTAAATCAGTGTGTAGTAGATACTTCGGCCCACTGAAGCATATTCATTTCATCAACCGTAATCTTAATCACATAGCATCCTGAAGCTACTCTTTTGCCCAAAGCAACGATATGCGACTCAAACAAGCTCATTATCTTCTATAAGTCCGAAAAACTTAGTATTAGGGTGACTCAATGGCAATATCCCCAATAACCAATGGTTTTTATACTTTCCCTCGAGTTTTGTATGGAGTACGCAGTACGACTACCATTTTTCAATAGGAACTTATTCTAAAACACCACTTTAAATTGGTTTTGAAACCGGGAACAAGGGTTGACAATCAACAAATATCTGGCCATTGCTTATTTATTCTCTTTGCCAGTACATTAAAAGTAAATAAGTTACGGATTCAATAAAAAGCTTTCTATATAGATCAAATACATCAATCTCAATTGCTTGCCAAAATCGATGCTATTGGCGATTTGGTCACGTGGTTCGAATTGCGTAATAGGGATGTTCACAAAATAAAAAAATCCCGTTTAACAATCATCAAATTATTAAGCATCGTTTCTTAAGTAAATTCACAAAATTTTACGAAAATCAGAAAATTCATTCTATGAGAAAAACGGAGACGAAATATCAATATTCGTTTAAAAGCAAGAAACGCTCTCTGACGTCACAATGTGTAACGAGTTAGCGCGTGCAAATACAGTGGCGCTACTTTCTATTTGGATCAGCCTTTTGTGACGTTGCTTCTGCGATTTTTGTTGGCAATAAAAAATATTAATATTATTATTACTATTAGTGTCTTTTTCTTTCATATGCATTTAGATAAAGATACTGATGAACTAATTGCGGTAATTGAATGTTAGGAAGCACCCTGAATAGTGAACTCTATTAATTGTCCAAATACTTTTTGCAATGAGCGGAAGTGAGACAAATACATTGTAGGCAATTATATCGTAAATAATTCCGCAACGTGACGTCACAAGCGCTACTCTCGCCGCACGGGGTCGTTTGGCTAGCCTCGTTAATTTCGTTTTTTTGTTTTCGATTTATTAGAAAAAATAAGGGTTTCTAGCTGTTTTAACGTTTAATACGTGTTTTGTGGACCTAGAACGACCACTTTTTATTACAATTGAAAAATAGTGAACATTCCTATTGTTGATATCAATCAATCAAAATCAAATTTATATTATCTAATTGACATTCTTTTTTATAGGATGAAGGCATTAATGTTCATTTACGCATCAAAAAGTCCAACGTCGACACAAAACTCTACACAATAGAAGATAAAATACTAATCTGCGCAGTCCCGGAAGGCTCGCACGCTGCCAGAAACAAAAGAGAAGGCAGCACGGTATCGAGGAAGTTCAAATTTACTAATATTTTCGATCAAGAAACGAGTCAAAAACATATTTTTGATAGCATTATTAAAGCGAAAATACTAAATTTTATCAATGGGAACAATAGCACTGTGCTGGCTTATGGTGCCTCAGGCTCTGGCAAAACCTTCACTATGATTGGCACTGAAGAGCAACCTGGCATTATTCCAAGATCTCTAGACTATTTTTTCCGCACTTTAGAGTCGCACGTTAACAAAAAACCAATTGCAAAACCATTGCCAGATGGCGGAGTTCAGTTTCTAACTGAGTCACAAACAGCGCAAGAACTTTCGATTCTCAAAAATATTCTTGCAGACTCGAAATCACAAGCAGAACAAGTTTCACATAGTAAAACGTTCAGGTATGAGCTTGTGAAGTTTTTTGTTAAGTTATGCTCATTCATTAAATACATTTTAGTCACATGCAAAGGCGATTGAGTATTAACAATGTGGGAACGCTCAATAAATTCACACCTATTCTTGCTGTTTGGGTCTCATTCGCTGAAATCTATAATGAAAACATTTATGATTTACTGCAGCCAGATCCAGGCAGACACCAGCAAAGACCAAGATTGAGAATTGGTGGCTTACAAGATGAGACCTACATTAGAGGATTGAAATATGTGTTTGTTCAGTCTGGTAAAAATAATTGAAAATTTAATTGGTTTTAGTTAATTTCATGGTTCCTTAGGTCTGGAAGCATATAGGCTTTTGCACTATGGTATGCATAACCTAAGCTATGCAGCGACCGCAGTAAATGAACACTCGAGCCGATCGCACTGTATTTTTTCAATCAGATTAGCTTCAGGATACAACCAAAAAAATTGTAATGTGTCAATATTCAATTTTTGCGACTTGGCCGGCTCGGAACGTCTCAAGAAAACTTTGAATGTTGGCGAGAGATTGAGAGAATCGACTAAGATTAATTCGTCATTGAGCGTCTTAGGAAGGTAAGGTTTTATTTTATTTTATTTATTTATTCATATAAAGCAGAGTAGAGATGATGGGTTAAAACTAAAACTTTATTTTTTCAAATTATGCATGTAACAGTGGTTCAGAATGTCTCTGTCTCATGCCTGGATTTGGATTAAGAGGGGGGCTAAAGGGGCTGGAGCCCCGGGCCGGGCCCCGCAAAAACGGACGTTGAGGGTGAGAAACGTCTACAAAGATGATTTTAATGGTAATTTAACTGATGAATGTTGGTATTCTTTACTGAACTTCCTATAAATTCCAAGATTGTCATGTAATCCGATTGATTTTTTGAAGTAAATTTTGGAAAATCGAAAAATGTGTCTGTCACCTATAACCAATTGTGAGTCAGAACGTTCTTTTTCAAAACTGGCTTACATTAAAAAAAACATAGAACATTAATGCAGGAGGAACGCCTGTCTTCATTAACATTGATGTGCATAAAAAGAGACGTTCTGAAGAAATTAGGATAATTTACTGACGTCATACAAGAATTTATTAAACTTAAGTTACGAAAATACTTATTTTTGTATCTAGTGCGCGAAATGCTACTTTGGTGATCGAGATCTGGTTTTTTTAACGAGGCGTAGCCGAGTTAAAAAAATAGTCGAGATCACCAAAGTATTTCGCGCCCGAGTTGCAAACAATATTTTTTCTACAACTCCATTTAAATATCGATCATTCAAAGCTAAAATTGCATTTTCAAATAAAAGTAGGTGAATTTTAATTATTTTTGGTTTCCTGACAGGTATGGGTCACCATGACACCCAGTGTGCGAACTAGCTATTTCGCGCACACGTGCGCGAAATAGCTAGTTCGCGCACGGCGTCATGGGAACGTTAAAAAATAAATACCTGGGAAAAAAAGTGTCACTTCGCAAACTGTCATGAGTGTGCGAACATCATCATTTTTTGACAGTTGTAGAAAAAAGATATTTTGACTTGTTTTTGTAAAACATGTAGGTATAGCAGTGTCTTTTGTTTATATCAGGAATACAGTTTTTTTTTTATAAATATTTTTTCGCGCCTAATTTGTGAAGGGGTTCCTAACACTTCACTAGCCCCGGGCCCATGAAAACTTAATCCGGCCATGCTCTGTCTGTAACTATAAAACTGGCCCTGATTATTCGAATTGGAATCATACAGAATGAATGAATTTTTTGGGCATGTGTAGATAATATGTTTTCCTACGAGCGTGCGCAAAGTAGTACTTTTCCGCACGCATTACCGTTCTCAAAGTAGTACTTTTCCGCACTCAGTGCGGATACGGGCCTTATCCGCACTGAGTGCCGAAAAGTATAAATAATTGTCAAGCAACAATAAGTGCACCTGTCGACTTTGACACATCATGACAAATTTTTCCTCTGTTTCTATATCAGCCAACATCTATACAAACACTGAATATAATTAACTTTGACACATTGTCAGATTTGTGTTCTCCACATGCAAGAATCTACAAACTTCTTTCCCATCAAATTTAAACGCTTTAAGATGAACAGCTCTGACCAGGATTTCAATTTCCTGTTTTTTTGTTATGTAATTTTTTGATGAATGAATAGGTTCGCTACAAGATAATTGAAAATAATTGAACAAAATATCGTTTTTTTTTTAAATTTTTGTTGTTAACTACCTGATATGTGGCTCGTAGGAAAAATTTTGTTCCTAACACGTGCGCAAAGTGTCTTTTCCGCACGCAAACACTCATCCGAACTCCGCTTCGCGTCGTTCGTATAACTGTGTTTGCGTGCGGAAAAGTAACACTTTGCGCACTTGTTAGGAAAATAACTATATTTTCCTAACGACTGCGGGAAGAGATATTTCCGGCAGAGGGTGCGAAGCGCCCGAGTGCCGGAAATTTCTTCCCGCAAGAGTTAGGAACTACATTTTTTCTACGAGCATACTAAAGCTGATGTTACGAGAAGTTTAATTTAAATAAAATGCGATTCTGCAGAAGGTAGAATTAAAAATGTATTGAAAGGTATTTATAAAAAAAAGGTAAAGGTATTAAGGTAAAGGTATAGGTGTATCAACAATACAAACAATTCCATGTCACAATGATTATTTGAAACTCTTCCCGCACTGAGTGCGGGAAGAAATCTCTTCCCGCACTGGTGCGGGAAAAAAGTCTTCCCGCACAGCAAATCGTGCGGGAAGAGCCATTTCCCGCACGCTCGTAGAAAAAGTAAATTTCCTGTCACTTTGTAAGAAAACTTTGAAAAAAAACTGTCGGAATTTTATTTTTTCAATAACTTTTTTTTGGAGGGTGGACAAACGAAATTATTGGGTGGGCAATCGATGGGCAAACAAACTGTTATTTTAAATTGTTGATTTTCAAATTTGGGGGTGCTGAAAAAAAAAATCAAAACTTTATTTTCTCAATAACTTTTTTTTGGGGGGGGGGGGGGGGCAAACGAAGTTAATGGGTGGGCACATATGGGCATTCGATGGGCAAACGAACTTTGAGTTTAGATTGGTCATTGATTTTCGAATATGGGAGTGCTGAAAAAAAAAACTGTGGAAATTTTATTTTTCCAATAACTTTTTTTGGAGGGTGGGCCAACAAGGTTATTAGGTGGGAAACGAACTGTTATTTTAGATTGTTCATTTTCAATTTTGGGGTCGCTCGAAAAAAAAAAATCAAAATTTTATTTTCACAATAAGGCATTCCATTCCAACGATTTGTCAAAAATGGCGTTTGTCAAAAGTTAGCCAGGGCAGGCAAATGTTGAAGTGCGCGAAAAAATTGGTAAAATGCCTGCATTTTGTTGTGTAGTGAAATGTAGTAGTAGAGGAGAACGCGACAACGTTAAATAGTGGAATAAAATCACTGCTCTAACTCGCTGTTTTCTGAGGGTGGGTGATTCCGAGGTATAACCAGATGAAACCTATATCATCTTGTAGAGGACACTTTGGGGCATAGGAAATGGGAATGTACAACTTTTTTTATTAGGACTGAACTTTGAAATCGGCCCTTAAACGTGACTGAGCTCGAATTTGAAAAACTATGTTTTTCTCCAAACGTCAGAAAAACGTCACTTTGTTAACCCCTGTCAAGATGTCAGAAATTTGATTTTTATGCTGCTAGGCAAATCCAGCGGGTTAACACCTGTCGAGGTAATAGAAATTGAATTTTTCTCCAAACGTCAGAAAAACGTCACTTTGTTAACTCCTGTCAAGATGTCAGAAATTTGATTTCTATGCTGCTAGGCAAATCCAGCGGGTAAACACCTGTCGAGGTGGTAGAAATTTAATTTCTATGCTGCTTGGCAACCCCAGCGGCAGCAAAAGTACTTTTAGTGCCGCTGGAGCGGCAGTAGAAGTACTTTTAGTGCCGCTCGTACTTTTGCTGCCGCTCAACCATTCACTTGCCCCCGAGCTTACCCCATTCGTTTGAAGAAAAAATAGCGTGTTGCATACGGAGTAGAAGCACTTTTTTGTGCTTCAGCAGTATTGCAAGCCTCACTACGTTCGGCTCGCAAACCTACCGCTTCAGCACAAAAAAGTAAAGCTTCTACTCCTAATACAACAATATACTATTTTCTAAACATTACCCGCTGTATTAATTTAAGCATACAATCTAAAATTCTGATTTTTTGCACACTTATACTTGAAATATGAGCGCTTCTAATGACAGTTCAGAAATTTCAAAAAGTTAGGAATATAGAATTATCAAAATCGTGCATCTTAAACTTCACCCTGCGAGAGCAATGTGTATTATTGAAAATTTCTACACATACAGGGTGGCCAATTGAAAACGAAACAGAGGTGATTTCGGGCTCCCCAAGACATTTAAGAAAAAACCCTCGTACCCGTCAATTTTTGATTTAAGGGGGAACCATTTTTTTGGTGTTTTCACGCCCTGGGGGGCAAAGCCCTAGCGGGGGTGACAAGGGCCCCCAAAATTTTAAATGGAATGAGGGGTCGAGTGATACCTTATTTTGAAGCTGTTTTTATGTAGATTATAACCCCCGAGTCTCACATCGCTACTATCTACCTAGCCATTACAGGGGCTAATTAAAGTTACAAAAGGATGTTGGAATATTTTTATTTAAAAAAAAATGCTTTAAAAACAAAATCAATCAAGTGAATGCTGAAAATGACCTCAGAAGAAAAAATCTAATGGGCTTAAATCTGGAGAACGCGGGGGCCACTCAATATTGACGACCACTGCAGCATAATGGGATGACGCACAATCTTGTTGGAATATTAGTGTATGCATCTGTTATCATTCTCTAGTATCTCCACCAATTCTGGATGAATCGCAACTCCTAACCACTCTAGGTACATTTCTCCTGTTAAATTTATAGGTAAAAAAGGGGCCTATTTACGGTTATCAAAAATGCTAGCCAAACACTCAAATAATCTACATCTCCATAATGCCCTAGGACGTTATTTCGTACGTATTATACCTGAAAATATTGTATGTATACCTGGAAATATTGTATTAAATAAATATTGTATTGAATATAAAAAAATTGTATTAAAAAATGGAGTATAATTAAATGGTATTTTGGTTGATGTGCTACTAACCCCCTTTTTCGTTTTATTTCCTCCTCCCTCACCATTGAAAAACTCATAACCCAATTATTTTTTTTCAATAAATGAGCAGCAGTTTGTATATTTCTCTGATGAATGCTCCTTTTTTCTTGAACGGTACGGTGAATCGTCTCAACTGCCGCTATTGGGCTAATTCAAATTCCAGAAAACATATTTCGTGAGGTACATACGCAACATCCCGAGAAATTGAGTGTTTAGGCTAGCATTTTTGGTAACCGTATAATAGACCCCTTCTTTACCTATAAATTTAACAGGAGTAATGTACCTAGAGTGATAAGAAGATGCGATTCATCCAGAATTGGTGAAGATACTAGAGAATGATAACGGATACATGGAAAACCGTCTTAATATTCCAACAAAATGGTGCGCAACCCCACTATGCTGCAGTGATTCGTCAATATTTGGACCAAAGGTTTCCAGGACAA